TCCCTACAGAATTGCTCAATTTACTAGATGATGGAGGTGAGGGGAGAGACAGAGGCAGAAACCCAAGTGCAAGCTTTGTAAACTCAGACTAAGATACAGTTGTCAAAGCTTTTCTACTTCTCTCCCGTATTACACCATCCTCAAATCAAAAGACGCAAGTCAGGTTTAGGCATTAGAGTAGACAGGCTGTGCAGCCAACTTAAGCTAGTAATTACAACTTAAAACTAATGAACAATTTCTAAATCAACCAGAAGAGTTTAAATCAAAACTGTGGATGTGAAAGAAATAGTACTATCCTATACATAAAAATTGTTACTCAAAGCTAAAATGTCTGTATGAATTAGGGAGCAGACTTGTGTGTCAACAGCACACTTAAAGCAGTTCTTTTGTCAGGGCTTTTCAGTTTGTTGCCAAATAGCATCCAAGAAGTTAATTTTATTCTAACCAATGCATTTGGCTACATAGGTTACTTGATTCTGGCAATTCAAGTGTACAATCCATTAAGTTATGTTGTTCAGTGCTGTGAAAAAAAGGAAGAGGCATGTTATGTGCCAGAAAACAAATCCTAAAGAAAACAAAATGTTGCCATTCACATAACCAAAAGGAACAAGAATGCTTTTGTTTGGCTACAGTCCCTCAGAATAGTTTTTATTCTACACTTCACTGACCAAATGTATGAAATAACTTTCTCAAATATGTATAGAAACATGTGAATTCAGAATGAGGTCCAGAAAGTAAGCAGCCTGAACTTTTCCTTCATGTCATTATTAAATTGTTCATTGAGTTGCCTTAAAAATGGATGCTAAGTTAAACCGATGCTTAAGTTAAACTTACCATTCTTTGGAGCTGGCTAGTTTGCAGCCTTCCTCGTTCACCCAGATTAGTTTTCCATACAATGTCTAGTTTGCCAATCACTGTTACACCTTTTATTACTCCAGCTTTCTCTGCAAATTCTTGCTTTGGTTTTAGGCAGTATAAGTATTGACGTGTATCCATAGGTTGTAAATAAGTCCTAGAGCCAAATGTAGACTCACTAAAAGAAGGAAACATTGGGTCTTAATTTAAACACTTATTTTCAGGAAGACTTAAGAACCCAACCTTTTTTTCCATCCCATCAGTCTTACTCTGTGTGTATTTTATTCATGGCAAAACACATAGGATTTTTTTGTGTTTTCACAACAGAAAACAATTCTAGAATTTATGTAGCATCAAGGACCAAGGGAAAAAAAAAAATGATTCATCTGAGCCAGAGAGAACTGAGCTGGAAATCCACTTTGCTACATTATAATTCATTATCTGGCATCTTAGTATTTAAACAATGCTGGTAATTTTACTTCTGATATTTGGTTCCCTCTCAGTAAATATCAGTGTCATGAGCCTAAGATTCCTGTTCAGGGCAAGAACCATTACAACAGATGCAAACACTTTGTAAGAACAATGCTTCACTACACTGCAGGTGAACCCTTTGACAGGCAAGACGACAGAATTTTCACTTCAGCCCCCACTGCAGAAGCACCCAAACATCACCTCCTCCAAAAACCCAGGCAACTGCAAAGCACAGACAGTCAAAGTTAAGCTTGTGATATCTGGGTAGAAGTTTTGTATCCACCACAGTTTACTAAACACAGCAGAAAATTCTTCCAGTATTTGGTGGTTTACTAATTGACACTAAATGATAATTTATTTCAGTATGACAAATTTTTGTATTCTAAGGTCCTATAAGGGTGTTCCATCAATTCACCTTGACTGCTGCTTTGCTAGATCTTGATTAGAACAATTGAAAACAGTTACCAGTCTACCAGAAGAAAGCAAGGACAAGTCAGATGGGTCCTGTAAGGCTAAATATGCATACACAGATCAAGCCAGACTCAAATGTGGGCTAAATTTTACATACGAGATACTGAAGTAGTATGTTTTCATGTTACCATGTCATCCATGTTACCAATTATTTGAGGATTAAGCTGGGGATTTCTCTGCTAGGTAGAGCTATCATGTTTTAAGAATAGTTTCTGTAAAAAGAAAACCGTAACAGCTTTTCCAGCAGAATACATAACAGGAATTTGATCTTTTTAATCAAGCAAAGAAGTACAATCCTTGCTGTTACAAACAACTCAGTAACTGTAATGCTTATATCTCATTAAATCATAACACAAAGAGTTTCAAAGTCAAATATTATGAATCTGAACATACCTTTCCCCTGCTGTGTCAACTGTGTTCAGTTCTGCAACATTGTACATCATAGATGGCTCTAAAGAAACCTTCTCCATAAACATTGGAGAGGTAGTGATATTCTGAATCTGAGCTTCCAGAAACACTTCATCTGTCTGAAAAAAACAAAAGTGCAAGTTCATGAAAATGTGATCAGTGTTATTAAAAAGAGTAGACAGTCCTATTGTTAAAAAAAAGTCACATGTGTTTAGTTCATGCCTGCAAATCAAATCAATTAATGCAAGAAAAAAACCTTAATCCCAGTAACAACAGGAGCAAAAGTGTTAGTCAACAGGTATCTTGCCAAACAATGGATGTGGGATAATTTTGCTATGTTCTAGCTATTGCTTATTTGTAATGCATCAGATCACCACTTCCCAAGACTTTCATCAACTCAAGAGCAACTCAAGTTTTAATCTGTATTAAAAAAGAAAAAAATAGAATAAATGGTAAGGAATTGCAGTGCACAATGACATGCCATGCCAGATTACTAGTGCATCAAGCTATATAAAAAAAAATTAAAATAAGTGTGTGTGTTTTTCTTTAACTGAAGTAAAATAGTTCTGGTACATGCTCTGAGGATTTTATTATGATATGAAACATTGACATACTGGCTAAAAAGCAATAACCAGCCTCCTCTCACTCAGCTGCATCATGCCAATGGTTACCAATATTATATGCATCCAACAATTTAACTGATGCTTCAAAACATCCTATAAGATGTATCTGTCAAATAAAGCTAATGCCTGAAGATGGTATGTAAAGACCAATTCCGGTACAGGAATGAAAGCTACAGACTGTTAAACTTCAGAAGCTGAAAAAACATGGAACTAGAGGCAGTTTTGCCTCATTGCTTCTGTGAATTGCAGGCCAGTGATGTTACTTTGAAGCTCTAGAATCTCAGGATAGAATAATTATGGCAGGCTCAGTCTACTAGAGATAGGAGCCCCTGGAGAAGTGAAAAGCAAAACCAAAGAAGTGCCAATTAAAAAAAAAAAGGGGGGGGAGGGGAACCAAATCCACATTTACAAGAGTTATTGATTCAGGCAGTTGGACTAGGTGATCATTGTAGGTCCTTTCCAACTGAAATAGTCTAATCCATAAATTCAATGGGGCAGTTTAGGTATTTTGTTTTGAATAAATTTAAAAAATAAAAAGTATTTTTATGGGTAAGACAGAAGGAAGCTTACAGTTTCTTTTTAATCAGTGTAAATGACTTCATTATACAAAGGGAGTTCCACTTCTAAATTACAAAATAAAAGTGGGACAAAATAGTCAAAATATTTTTACTCTCAAAAGGCATTGTGTTAGAAGGAAAAATACAGAATGGTCCTGGAACTATTTGTTATGCCTTATAAACATGTTAAACACAAGCCAGGAGATAGTATATACAGAGTACTGAAAACTGTGCAAGCTCTATGGACAGACCTCACACTTGCAGAAGGAGCTGGAAATAACCCCAACAAAAACATGGCTCTCAGTAATTAATACTACTACCACCTGTCACTTAAATTGATACTGTTTATATCCCATAAATCCATTGCTCAAAGTGTCCATTTACCCAAATTTTAGTTGTTTTCAATGCAGCAACCATAGGCAGAAATTTAGAAAAAGCTAATTTGAAAGGGAAAAGAAAAAACAAGCAGCATAATGAAAAAGCAAGTTAGTTTTGTGTTATTCCTAAGTTGGTTTAGTATCACATAGTTTAAAAAAAAAGGAAATCCTTAGGTACTTCAGAAGAATACAGTTTATTTCAATACAAGGCACACCTTAAAGTGTAATCAGACTGCAGAAGTATCATACTAACTCATCAACTGTTACATGCAGTTAAAAGTTGGAAAGTGCAGTTCCAGCTAGCAAAAGGAAGAACATCCAACTGCTGCTCTCTCCTCAAACCCACTGTCTCCACCAACCAAACGTGAAAAGTTCTGTCACAGCTAACACAAGCAGTGCTGTAGTGAAACCTACATTCCTATGGGTCAAAAGCAGGAAAATTTTAGCAGGGATTAACTCCCGTTTCCAAATAATGAATCTAGTCAAATTTTGGTGAGGTATTTTATAGGAGAACCCCCACAAGCAAGAGTCTGTAATAATCAACTTTTAGTTTCAACAATGGGTATTAAAGAAAGAGCTAACCATTTAAGTGATTAGCTGCACATATAAAGATGATATGTTCATGATATGCAGAACAAACATTGCTTTTCCATTATGTTTTTAAAAGAATGTCAACAAGCACAGAGACAGATAGGCAATTAAAAAAGCATACATATTTATAAAAAAATAAAAATTACCACAGAACTGAGGTCACTCTAATGGGAAAATAAAAAAAGAACACATTAGAGAAATTAGGGTTAAATGTTAAAGAAAAAGAGGGTAACTTTCAAACAAAATGCATTTCTGCATTTTTTTGCACCATCTAAACAAGATAGCATTAGTAAGACAGAAATGTAAATAAAAATGGATGCAAACAAAGATGACAACTACATTTCTAATAAGTTATAGCTAGCGTGGTTACATGGTTTACTAGCTTTGCTTCAGAACCAATCCAAAGTAGAGCCTAAGGCACACAAGTCACAGGTAAGGTATGGTAGAACAAACTGACCACCCCCACCATCACCCCCCTGCCGCAAAGTGTTAGTTTTTGAGCAAGTTTAAAGTTTGTCCTGAATTTAAATCCATGCAATGCGTTGTACATGAAATGGAAAAACAGTCCTTGTCATTTTACAGATAATTTTTAAGTATCCACATATATTAAGGTCTCAGAATAAAAATACTGTGGTAATGTGTTCTATAAAGCTACAGTATTGCAGCTTATAACAAATTTGGCATAACAATCAGGAAAAACTCTTTTTTGAACATCCATCATTCCAAAAACCCAACTTTAATTGCAAACTTTGTTTTCTCAAGTGTCTGCATATTTGTCTCCCTATGTGTGTTTGCAGGAACAGAACCTTTTACAGAACCTTTTCCAAGGCACACCAATGTCACTGACAGACTTTCTATAGACTGGGGCAGGTAATTCAGTCTCAGGATTGCAGCAGGTTAGGGCAACAGGGCATGCGTTCTATGCATGAATTTCAGTGATCAGCTTGATTTGGATGCTACTGCAATATGAGCAACAAGCAAGAAAATTAAGGTTCAGCATCATTCCTTATCTTAGAAAAAACGGAATTATAGAGTATAATTTCTAGGAGAAAATAATTTTATGAACAGACTTTATGAATAGATACCATCACATCTGTAATATTAATGGTAACAGTTTAAGTGGTTAGTCAACCTTTAAAGACCTTTAGTTAACTAATAACTGACACATACCAATTTTTTTTCTCTCCCCAGCTCCCAAGCATAACAATCTTTCTTAATATTGAGGACAAAGGTCTTGGTGCTTTGACAGCAATGCAGGATCACATACAACATCGAACCAAAAACTTATTTCTAGGTTTTTTTTTAATTTTATTTGACTTCTGTGGTCACAACACATTGCAGCACTTTATATAGTTTCATAAATTAAATATGAATCAGTTTGCTAAGCGAGTGAAAATTACTCAGTTAATCTAATCCAAAACCTTAAAAAAAATTTCAATCACATGGATACTATGGTAGTGGGAGTTGCATAAATTCCTGAACAGGAAGAACAAAACACATTAAAGCATCCTTTTAAAACCTTTACAGTAGCAGGGATGGGATGAGATGGGTGGGACCAAACCCAAAAAACCACAAACACCAGCTCAGGACCCCAAAGCTTCCCATAGCTCTTTATCATGAGGAATCGGTGGGTAATTGAGGAATGGAGTTTATTAAGTCCCTTATCGAGGCCTGTGAGTAAAACAATTTTGTAGGAAAAGAATACTTTTGACCTATGTCAAGAGTTTGCCCTGAATTTACCTTAATGAGGTTTTTATTTCCATTCACTATTAAGTGTTTCAGCACAAAATTTGCACATGAAGTACAGGGAGACAACATTTCATTTAAGATATCTGTTCCTCTTTCCCCTACCACTTTTTTTTTTTTTTATCTGAAACAATAATATAATCCACACACAAAATGGAGGTTTATTTTGTTCCCAGAGGAATTACCTAGTTTCTTAGCATTATTTTTGTTCTTAAATCACAGCAGGAGACATTACCAGACATTCCCATTTACAGATAACACCAGTTCTATAAAGCACTTGACCAGTGGTATGCGCTTACATTCCAACCCTACTCAGGTATCTCACACCTGGTTAACCTAAGGATTGAAGCCTGTGGCCTAGATACATGTACCAAGATATTTTTAGGAAAATGTTTTTCTCTTTTCCTCTGTACTACAACATTGAAATTGCTTATGACCTATGCCTTGATTTATCCTCCCTCTAAATAAATTACATGCTATATATTAGCATGTAAATTATGAGACACTTATTCATTCACAGCAGAGAGAAAATCTTTATGGAAAGTTTCCTGCACAACTCTGAACAAGACAGATCTTTGCACCTGGAATTCTCATTCGTAGAGCAGAAATTCTTATCTGTTATTTCTCCCTGCTGTTTTCTCTATTGATACTACCAGGAAGGGAAAGAAATACACCTTTCACACCTCTTTAGCCATAATCTTGCTTTATGAACCCCAGGTGTGACTATGATGGAGATAAATAATTAGAACAATAGATTTGGAGACTCTCTGCTTTTCTACATGTAAATTCATATCATGTATATCTGCTTATTTAAGAACAAACAGGAGAGCAAAATATTTTCGACTTAGCTTAAGAACTTATTTTTCAAATCACCAAAATTCCATATATTTTCTTTTCCTCTCACTGACACTTTGGTCTTTTTTTCTCCCATCTACTATTCACTGCAACAGAAAACACCACAACTTCACTCCCTCTTTTAAACCATTTCAAACAAACTGTTTAAGAATACTAATGAAAGTTTTCAACCAAATGACTAGCAGTGTAATAGCTGACCATATTTCAGGTGTTATGGAAAAAGTTTAATACTTATAGTGTAAGCTCTCAAAGTACTTTGCAAATATCAGTCTGAACTTCATACAAACAATACAGAATACAATGCTCGCAAAATTAAGCTACCTGCTCACTATCACAAAGCAGGTAAATGATAATGGAAACAAATGTCCTAACTTCCTATATAATGAGATACTGTGCAAGTTTATACCCTACAACAGACCAATATAATATATACATCCATAGGGAATGTCTATAAATAAAAAGAATGCTGTAAGTAATTTGTCAGTTTCCACTATCTGCATCACCTTCAGTTAAAATTCTTCCCCATAAATAGCCAAAGACATAGCCTAAGTATGCCCAAGTAAATATATAAGCCATATATAAGGTCATTTAGCTTTGAAGCACTGTGTATAACTGCCACAAACATAAAAATTAAATTATTGAACAGCAGGGACATATTTACACTAGGGAAATTGAAGCTTAAATTTTAAATTGTTCAATAACTTAATTTTCAATTTCCCCAATCTGGTATATTATCTGCTTTGTGAACAATTAATGTCCCTTACAGTAAGTACTCTATCACCTAAATATACAAGCAATAACTGAAAGTATTTGAGTTCATGGAAAAGCGGAAAATAAGCAAAATTGTCAGTCAATTGCATTAAGGGCCTGACAAGTCTGCCTTAGTTACCATCTCTTTTGCACCTTCATCAAAAGTATATCTATTTTTAAACTAAATGATATAAACCCACCACCTAATTTTTCTCCCTTCAGAACTGGTATCTTTCTCAGAAATGTGTACTTAAGAAGCTCTTTGAGTTTAATCTAACAAACTAATGTGAAGTAATAAACCCAGCACACCAAAACAAGCCCAAATACACACAGCTCTCACTTACCTCAGCATTGTAGAATTTGGTTTTCACATCTAGTGGTTTAAGGACCTGAATGAAATGGAAAAAAAAGGCAGATTGACAATTGGTTCCTCAAACAACTTCAGCAGAAACTGCTTATAAGTTTTAGGATCTTTACTAAAGTGTTATTTTTCTTTTTGATCTTACACAGAACAGGTGCATAGTGGAATACATGATACAATCAACTGAGCTAAAGCCTCACAGAGTATATATTTGCTGCTTCTTATTTGCACAGTTGAATGCTTTGCTACTAAGCAGTTTTCTCAGATTGAAAACAAATACTTCTCCACTTAAGCACTGGCCACTTATGAAACCAGACAAATCCAGTGCACTAAGTAGATCTATGTCCTTAAAATATAACATTACATCCATCTTGTATCCTGAAGTGGTCTGCACTTGCTTTCAAGAGTGAGCAAGAACTGTGTAATATTTAGAAGTCCTTCAGTGTTCTGCAACAAACAGAAGTTACTAAAGGTTTCTCTAAAAATAAATGAAATAGAGAACAACTCATGTGATTAGCTTAAGCAACAAACCATTACTAGGCTTCACAGCCTTCTTGAAAATGCAACTGTTACAAGGAATAAAAAAGCCAATAAATTGTTTTAATCACATGAGATTAAATCAGCAAGAGAAAACATTTTGATGATATAAAAGGTGATAATAAAGCATTGGTTCTTAAGTGCTTTAATTTCGTGCATAAAGCTACTGCAGTCAACACATTCAAATATGAAATGGATATACACTAATGTAACTGAAAGAAATAATCTTCTATTATACTTGTAAAGAAATGAATTTAAATTACCTTGCTGAAGACATTTATTTCCCTTTACACAGGGAAACTTCTTTTTTTTTTTTACATGTAAGTGTACTGCTTCCTGAGAGACCCCTAAGGTTCCAAGTTGTGAACAAGTTTTTTAGCCCTGAAGAATTCAAGATTGAGTAGTAGTCTTCACAGAGATTTTTGCATTATAAACAGGCATAATATTCAACCTTTCAAGCAATCATAACTATCTCTCTCTAGTCAGAAAAAAAGTAAAAATTTTAATTTAGGTGTTTGTTGATTGAGTGGTTCTTTCCCACCAAATATTTTTCTTCAATGATCTTCTTATTAATTGCCCTAGATGTTGATGTTTTCTCTCTCTTTCAGATAAAGAAAGTAATTCCATTTGTTCCAATAAATTTCAAGTGGCATTCCAGTAAAAATCAAATAATTATTGTGAGGGTCACACACACACCCCCAACAACAATGGAACCCTAGAAAGAATCATTCCTTCTCCATATAAACACAATGGTGTTAATTACTCAGAGAAAGCTTTGGAACAAAAAGACACTATGGATCAGTATTAAACTACATATAATGGTTGAAAACAAGCTGCTTAAAACCAACTATAATACCAGTTTAACTTAAAAGATCCTAGAAAACATAACTGAAAAAGTTGAGAATCTATTAAAAAGAAAATGAGGTTGTTTTGTTATAAAATAGCTGGTGGTCCATTGATCACTAGCAGCCATCAATTCCCATTGTGAAGACATTGTTCAGTTTTCTGTAACATTTCTTTTTGTTTGTTCTCAGATTTTCTAGCTGGTGTCTTCATATCAAATTTAAAAAATAACAACCAACATTGCTTAGTGAAGTGCTTTTCTCATAATGAATCAGAAAGTATTTATAGAATGGTGTTAAAGTGTATATATACTTTTTGAGAAACTCTTATGCTTCATTCTTTGAAGGAAGAGCTTCAAATTTGACAGATAGCTGGCCTTAGCTATTTTGACAAAGTTGCCTGTGTTGGATTCAGTTAAAAAACACAGGTTACAATACGCACATAGACCCCTGAAAAACATGCACAAATAATTCCACATCAAATCTAAAGGAGACAAATTGACATTTTGGACAAGGCTCTGGCGAGAACAAGGATAGCGAAGGGAGAGAAGATGAGAACTGGAAGCCAGCATACACTAGGGATCAGAGAAAGCCTAGAGGGGACAGAGGGACAAAATAGTGAACTCCTGGGTGACAAAGAATGGAGAAATTGAAAGCAAAACAGTTTCACAAGGAGAGCAAGACAAAACACAGAGATGAAAATCAGCTTCAGCAAAGATGAAGAAACACTGCAGTTTCTGGGTTCAGAGGAAAGTGTAACACAAAAATCAATATGGAATGATTTTCCCTAGAACTGATTGTCTGGAAACAGCTTTGACTAATCAATACTTGCCATCTCAAGGCCCACAAGTTCTAACAGTACTTGGGTGTTCTTTGTCTGTAGCACATGGCAACTTAGCCTTCTAAAAACTGAAATGCTTTTTTCTGAAATATCCAGATAGAATATTAGAAAAGAGAAAAATGAAGTCACCTGCAACTTGCAAAAGATACAGGTTTCAAATACGTATCACTCCTGTATTGCCAGACACTCTGTAAGAGTGTCTAAAAATGTGTTCAGTAAAACAAGTCACCTAATCCTCCAATCTACAGGAAAGAGCCCACAGTTATCCAAGTCTCAGCTTTTTTCTCTAAAAAATAAACATCCATCAAATACACAGCTAAAATAGACTTTCCTGCCAGAACCAGTCCACAGATAACAGTACTTTCCTGCTTTCCTCAGTTATTCTAATCTCAAGTTTTGAAATTTGTGCAGTGGAACAAAAGGTTTCTACTATCAATTACTTCTGTAGATATTAGTCAGATAAAACACATTACACTTCTTTGCTTAGTTTCCTCTAAAAACAAACCACTAAGTTCTGATTTCAAAAAGGTTACACACACTAAAAGAAAAATCAGAATTTTACAATCTAAACTCAAAGGTCAGGTGTGTCAAAGTCAGAATGAACAATACTTGTTCTGTTTAAAAATAATCATAAAGCTATAGAAAGTTTTTTTTAAGAGTAGATTTTTCTTTCTCAACAAATGAATAAAAATTATAAGACATAATATTTACTATCTCTGAAATGTTTAAATGCATGGTAATTAGAAACCATCAATTCATGTGAAGTTTGAAGTGATGGGTTTTATCGGTTCACTTTTAGAAGTGAAACAGATTTTTAGTATGTAAAAGTGCTTTGGAAGTATCAAATGTTTTCAAACGGGTTTTCCAGATTCACCCACTTATTAGAATACTTCATGCAATACCTGAAATTTGAAGAACTTTCTGAAGTACATCTTCTCTCCTGTCTGCGTAGTGTAGCTTACTGCACAAACTAAGCTGAAAGAGACAATTTTTTAAAAAAATAATTTTGAATTACTTTAAATTTTGTGCCTATATCAGAGCAGCAACAGAATAGCATGCATATGCTGCAGTTTCATTTAAGCTCATTTAGTCATAGAAAAATTTAAAACCTTACATGTGTGTTCCTATCTCCTTTACTTCATGATGGATTACATCATCAATGCAACAGTCAGGTTTAAGTTCTGCCACTGCAGCACTAGAAGCTGAAAGGTTCAAGCGCTGAGAACTTGTCTGAAGATCAGCCTGGGGACACAAAAACAAAGCATTGGTTAGAACTGCAGCTGCTTAACGCAATTTAAAGAAGAACATATGTTCTAAAGTACTAGGTTTCACTGAGCATTTTGTACCCTACATGCTTTTAGACATGACTAAGACCACGAGATTAAGATCACGAGATACTTGTCAAGTTAAAGACAAGTTCTGAAATATGTATATAAACAGTCCAATCCTTTAACATGCAGCTTATAAAATCTCTGTTTACTGTTTACATTGAGTTCCACAATGACTTCTGGAATTTCTATTCTCAGTGTATTAGTTGTTCAGCAGAAAACGCAAAAAACCAACGCACTAGAAAAGAACTCATTTGAAATATAAGCAAAGTACAAGTCAATGCATGCTTTACAGAGACCTGCTTTCATGACCTCACTGAAAGTGCAAGTAAGTGAATATAACTCCAATTTTTTAGCTGTGGAAGTTTTGCAACACCAATTTTCCAGAGAAGCTTTATAAAATATCTGTTTTTTTCATACAATCCTAGTTTTTCATTTCAATCTTTAAATATTTCTATCATAATTTCTATTTTTATGCCTTAATTGTTTCCAATTTCCAGGCATATTTTCTGGATTAGAAAAAGTGACAGGTATTTCCCAAAGTCTACGTTTTAGCATTAAACATACAAAATATTGTCAGAAAACATACTCAACATATTTTATTTTTTTATAAATCCAGTAAGCAGGTTTATCTTCACATACCTTCACCAGTATGTCCTTGACAACTTGATTACTATCATTGTGTACACTAATGTAACTGGAAAACGTCTCTCCCAGAAATATATTTCTGTGTTTAAAAAAAAAAGTTTAGTAACAGTTATTTAAAAAAAAACACAGAACATTTCAGTAAAAGCCCTTTGAGTTCTAACTGAAATATATATATACACACACACACACACACTTGCCAGATCAAATTCTAAAAGTACATTGGCATTTTCACACCCACACTTCTTAATGTCATCCTTCTAAGACAAACAACTTCAAATGAGAACAAACAAATCAGAATCTTTTCCAAGGTAAAAATCTCAGAATAAGAAGGTTTACAGTACCCACAAAAATCACTGTAGTAAACTCTAAGTATAAGATGTGGTTTATAGTAGTGCATTATGTTATCAATTCACCTACAGCTGCAAATTTCTTTCAACTTCCAATCCTTGTTACATTCAGAGCCAGGCTACAGACAAGGAACATCAGGCAGCACACATTTATATATTATGTCACATTACAGATCAAGCCACAGATTATTTTTAAAATGATTGAATATCTCATTGCACAACAATATAAAAAAAGAAAGAAAAGTAATAAACACAATATCATTAAATGAATCCTAAACCTTGCATGTTACACTTACAATTATTTATTCTTACCCAAAGTTTTGGGGTAAAGTCAGCATTTCTCCCAGCATCAAAGTTTCTGCTCCCTTTACAGTAGAAGGATCATCTTTCATGAGCTGGTTAAATAGATTACCTGTAGAAATATCAAATTGCTAGTATCTAAGTATTTGCTGAGTCTAAAGTTTTGTCTGCGGTTAAGTTATGACACTTAATCACTTATTTAGATATAAGTTATTTTAGACATACTTATTTTACAACCAACTTGTTTAGGGATGAAATACATATCTATACATATGTACAGGCCTGCCTATAAATTAGAACTTACTTGCAGGCATTTGCGTCTAATAAACCATTCAGTATACACACTGAAGGGCGCAACCCCAAAGGCGTTGCTCAAATTAACATTAAACTTTAAGGGAAATTCTGCCCGAGTGAAGCACATTACATAACAGAACTAATCAACCCCACTTACTTTCTTCCCCTGCTTCCCTTTTATTTCCACACAATCTTGTTTTCTTGAATCTTTCCTTTGCCTCTTTCTTATACTTGACTTCTAGACTGCAACTGGTAGTGGGGGACAACCCAGGGATTTCCAATTTATGACTGTACACCAAGCATAACACAATTCAAAAGCCATGATTCTTGCAAAATAATTTTCCACAGAACACTCATGTATTGGTTCTAATTACCTGGGCATTTTCTCCACATAAAGAGGATAGCAACAGTAAACTTTCTACAATTACACATTTCTCCTTCACAACTGCCTTCCATCTTGTGTGTTAATTGCTCAGACTTTCAGGTCACATATTTCCAGTATCATCACCAAACTTTCAAAGCTGTAGGTCAAGAGTTGTAGAGTGCATCTTGGTATTTTCCTATAGCCATTACCAAACATAAAATATATTGCTGTTTCGGATTACCATCTCGGGGAGTTTGTAAGACTCCTCTGACATCTAAGTCCCAAAGCTCACATTACTTAAACCTGGTAATACGTACATAATAGTCAGTGGAGAAGACATACCTGGTAAATCTCTTTCTTCACAAGTCACAGGAATATTAGTGAATAAAGTAGGTTTGGTTAGCCTCATCACTGCAAAAATCAGAAAATAAACCATAGGTCAATGAGACAAGTTTGGTGGGTTTTTTTTTTTTTTTTGAAAAGTATAATTTTGTCTTGCTCTCCTTCCACCAAAAAAACCCACAACCACTAAATCTTAGCCTGAAAAAAGGTAACACTTTTTTGGATCACCTGGCCTTTTTCAATACAAAAAACTCTGTGCTACTCTCAGATCCAAAGGCAGTAGTGATGCCATTGCTTGTTCTTGCTTTATTCCCCTGGTGCACTAACATCTACCGCTTTCAATTTTTTATTTTTCATTTACGTGCTAAACATCTTATACCCGTTACAGTGTTAAGTGCTTTGTGGGCTCCAGGACAAGTGTACCAGTTTCATATTTTTGTGGACTCTTCTAGGCCTGTTCTGTGATCCTGGTTGCTCTAGAATGGGACATGAATACTAGTACAGACCCCTTCAGTCAAGCTGCAGGCAATTGCATCTACACCCTAATCTCCAAAACATACTCAAGATAGAGTTGCAAGTCTAAAAGCCTACATTATTTATACAACCACTTTTTCTTTTAGTTCCAAACTTTAAACTCAAACCAGCAAAACCATCACAAAAACCTCAGGAAGACACTTACAAAAAACCTATTTTATTGATACTGACAAAATCAAAATCATTAATCTTGCTATTAAAAAACCTCTACTTCAAGAATGTGGTATTTTCAAAGGCTACTTTAACTCAGAATACTCAAATTTATATGATTTTTACTTGTATTACAGATTTAAGATGTTGCTTCTTAAAAGACTTCCTCCCTATTCATATAAACCGATGGCCCTAATCTTGTATATAACTTCCCATGAAAGCATTCACATGAAATAGAGTTGAGTGTTTGTAACCTTAGGTTTTGATCCAAATATGTAAAAATCACTGATTTGTTTTTCTTTGAAAATTAACAGACATAAACCCATATATTTTCTGAAAACTAAAACTAGAAAATAAAATTAAAGGATTTCTCTTGACTGCAAGAAGTTAATCAACATCCTTGCACTGACACATGTATTGTGCTTTTATCTTTATTGTACTTTTGTACATCTTACATATCCAGTCAGCATTTGCTATTTCCAGTTGTATAAAATATTCAATTATTTTGACACACATTTGGGTGCAGTGGGCTGTATTGGTTCACAAGAACTTACACTACCATACAGCAGACCTATGCAATATCAACACAAACAAATCTCAGTTTTCACATAAAAAAAGGTAATACATTCTCTTTGTTGTGGTGAAAAGTTGAAAAACATGACCTCTGAAGGCTTAGAACCACAAGGTAAATAAAAAGCCCCAAAACATACAGAGTAAATGGAGAACCAGATTCAACATTCAAAATGAAAAAGATAAATACCGAATTATACGTGCATATGAACTAAGCATTTCTGGAACAGTTCAAAATGGAAGTCTGGATTTCAGCTTGTACAGTGGTGTTACACAGGACTGTAATAATTCTGTAGAGAAACCAAATGTGGTGTTCACTTTTTATTACATGACAGTTACCCAGCTGAGACGCTCACAGCTTGCAGTGCATGTATCATTATTTGCATGCAAGCCAACCCAAAGCAGCAGAAAGCTGACAGCTACCACTGAACAGTGACACAAATCTCTCCTTCTATTTAGTAAGATGTTTGTTTAGCTCTTTTGTTGATATAGTAAATAAATGTAGTGCGACTGTATTATTGGCAGGTACCTGATTCTATTCAAATCTACAGTAAGCCCATAAAAACTAGCATTTGCTGACTGTTTCTAAAGGAACAGTTACAGATCAAGTTTAGTCCTGTTTAAGACAATAAATAAACAGATCATAGAATGAAGTCAAAACATAAATAAATCAAGATATGTAGATTATCATATTTAATAGGACTACCAAATTAATATTAGAAAATGTTGCATCTTTGCAGGACAACCTCTCATGTCTTTTCTTCTAAGATCCTAGACACAAAATAAACCATTCAATAAAACTCAAATCACTGTATTCCACGCTGTATTCCACTCTATTATATCCTTACAAATGCTGGCACACAAAGAAACTTTGTTACTATTAATGTTAATCTCAGAAACATAATTTCAGTAAAATAACTTGGCTATATAACCTTTAAAAATAATAATGACCCTCCATTACTCTAGACAGCATTTTACATTGTTTTTGCTAAGTGGTAATATTAAATGTCCCAAACACCCCAAATGTCAATATAAGACCCCCCCTTAACAGTCAAAGTTTAGAAATACATGTTGTCCTGGTTTTGGCTGGGATAGAGTTAATTTTCTCCCTAGTAGTAGGCACAGTGCTGTGTTTTGGATTTAGTAGGAGAAGAATGTTGATAACACACTGATGTTTTCAGTTGTTGCTAAGTAGTGCTTATGCTAGTCAAGGACTTTTTCAGCTTCCCATGCTCTGCCAGGTGCACAAGAAACTGGGAGGGGGCACAGCCAGGACAGTTGATCCAAACTGCCCAAAGGGCTATCCCATACCGTATGATGTCATGCTCAGTATAGAAACTGGGGGGGTTGGCCAGGGAGCAGCGATTGCTGCTCAGGAACTGTCTGGGTATCAGTCAGCAGGTGGTGAGCAATTGCATTGTGCATCACTTGCTTTGTATATTATTATTATCATTATTATCATCATTACTATCTTACTTTATTTCAATTACTAAACTGTTCTTCTCTCAACCCAGGAGTGTTTCTCACTCTTACTCCTCCGATTCTCTGCCCCATCCCATCGGGGTAGGGGGAGTGAGCGAGCAACTGCGTGGTGCTTAGTTGCTGGCTGGGGCTAAACCATGACACATGTCAATGACCCAAGCTAAGCAATATCCTTAATTTTAAACTACAAAAAGATATTAATGCCTGTAATAAAATATAATTATTCCAACATAAGGATGTCATCAAAAGAAAACTGTAGAAGTCCAAGGGGATTTTGTTTAATTTTTACACAGAGGGATCTCTGTTATGCTTACGTGCACTTTTATTTGATCAATGTTAATGATAATCTAACAATCTACAAATACCATTCACTTATTTTCCCCCTTTTCCAGATGCCACAGACCTTGACCTCCAGCCACAGCAAAATTATCTGCAGTTAGTAGGTGTGCCTAAGAGAAATACATACCCTTGCAGTCATATCAATCCCAGTTTAACTGCTCTACTGACCCTCCAAACATTGAATTGAGCAGGGACAGCATGACCTTGAAACACTTTATTCTTTCAGATGTTCTTTTAACAAAAAATATTGCTAAACTCAGCCTTTTATCACCATAAAAAACATTAAAATCCTCAGAGACCTTTACCTTCCATAATGACAACAAATAGAGGTTTACAGCTAGAAGTCCAATTTCTTAATTTCCTGACCTGTAGCTGGAAGTTAGTGCTTTCTTGTTCTCCAGTATAATTAGAGACAAAAGACCACAAACATCGGGGGGCGGGGGAAGTCTTATTACCAAAGTCATAAACCAGCAAATACTAAGTTGTTCATTATTTTTCAGCACACAGCTTCCACTGAAACTTTCATTAGTATTTCTGGGAAAATATGGATAACAATACTAAAACAGCATATATATGAAACAGGAAGTAAGTTTGCATTTCATGTGAGGGCTATGCCTTTATTAAGAAAACCCCCACACACTACTTTCAGGAAATAATCAGATCGTGAAAGTCTCAATGTCAAAAATAATTACAGATCCTTATAGAGATTTTAACAACCCACCTACAAATATTTTTCCTTCTCCTAATTTTAGAGATGCACAGTGAGGATGTTCTTTGCTTGACTGCAAGCATAACTTAATTGTTATCTGACACAGCTTGCCATAATAGTCTGGAATTTTTTTTTTTCCTTTAGACCACCAACGTAGAGAAAAGCTACAAAATGCAGTACTAAGCCAAACACAAACTTACTAATCTTAGTAGAACCACTCATAAGCCTTCTGGCAAAACAAAGTTAAATAAATATATTATGGTTAAACAGCTGTAGCAAAGTAATATTAAGTAGTTTTCTGCTCATTCATTCATCAGTTATTCTGAGGTTTGTATATTCTAAGCTGCTTTAAAACTCTAGTACTTCAGACAGCAGTTTTATTATGAAACTCTATCTTACAATTATAAGCTAAATATAATTCCAAATTTATGTACAAGCAAATTCATTTTATCAGTAAGGCTTAGCTTTTCCCTAAGAATATTTCTAACATATTCACAGTATAATATGTCACAGAAAATCCATATCTGTCCCACAGATCTTTGGATAGTAGCATTGCAAGATGGCAATTCATTCTGCTTGATGAGTCTATTTAATTTTATCCAGATGTCCTCCAAATTCTGATTATTACAAATAGGCTGTTCAATTGTCCACTTTGCTCTATAAAATGCATGCAGTTTTAGTCTTTGCAAATTATTTTGCAGTTCTTGAGATAAAGGAAGAATCTTTTCTTTAAGCTTAGGGCTAGGGAGAGAGACGCTCCAAGACCTTTTCAATTTTTGTTTTCCATTAGGTGGTGGTTCTCCTTGATTCTCCAAGTTCATTGGTCTGTGAACAGTTTGTGCTTGGATTAACGTCTGCCCATGTTTCACGTTAGACTGAAACTCAAGGAGATTTTTTGTGCAGTCATAATCAGGAGATCCTGTAACATATTCTGAAGGCATCAAAAGTTGTTTCAATTCTTCTGCTTCCTCACAAGAGATAACAGGTGGCTGCTTTTTTGGTTTGAGGGGAAGTCTGTATAAATCATTTGGAAACCAGAGTGTAAATCTTGGTAACTGACGAATGGGAAACTCCTTCACTGCTGCTTCTGCAAATTTCTGCAGTTTTATTAGATTTCTCTCGTGTGGTCGATAATGCAAGACCACTTCCATGCTTCTACAGTAGGAATCCAGTTATTCTTAAGAAAAGGAACAGTTTCTTGATTAGGATTTGAGAATCTAGACTGAAACACCTTATTTACAAGAATTTCCTTGCCCCATGCTGCAAAGATCAGTGGAAAACCA